TGGAAAGTTTTGCTCATTCTCGGATCGCAGGTTGAAACAGAGGCCGAATTCTGCTCCGTTTGAAGGCACACGCTAATTGATCACGTGAACGATAATGAATCGATCGCCTAATACTGAGATGCTGGTAATGGTAAGCTGATGAGATTGAATACGTTGCGATACGATACTGATCGATTCCGTGACGAAAGTGCGGCACGAGCATAAATCGTTGCCATTAATTGCACGGTTACGCGAGATTCTGGGTATGAATACGGCTCGGATTGTAAGCTAATGAGCATCTCATTGTAAGTCAAACACAGTTTGATTAGATTGCTATCTATAGAATCACGCAAATGGATAATCCAGTCGTTACGTATTCTGGAGAGCGAGAGGTCAGTTGAAATGTGAGTAAATGGGATGAGGCATGTTCTAATTTTCAAACGTTACCGGGGTCAGCAAAATGTGATCAGTGATACCGTGATTGGTTACTCAATATTTTGCTGCAAACGAACACAACAAATCACACACACCCAAAACAGCATCAAGTCGGAGATTTGTGCGACAGAGAAAGATAATTGCCACCGATTAAGTCGCAACTTTGGTTTACACATTTCTTCACAAAGCAAAAACTTGAATGCTTCGGAAACGCTCTCAATGTCACCGCTTTGACACATGCTCCAACTTGTCTCAACAACAATGCTTACCTCTGAGTCTGAAGTTTGATTGCGTTACGCTTACAACACTTTGTTCGACTAAGCGTAACAGAGCTAGGTAAGTAGTGGTACTAATGCTGCAAAGCTGAAGGCAACACAATCGACAGATTCGCTATTTTACAATCTCCCTCCGCACACCATGCATCTCGGTTAAAACAAGACAAATAAGCCTCTCCGGTATAATAACACGCAATGTGCGTTTGGCTGCGGCCTAAACCTGTTAAAACCGGCATCGGGCATTTTTTGGACACATTTTTGATCGATCGTTGTCTGACTAGTTCGTGTGGTGTTTAGACATTCGACCAAAAAAAAAGTGGTCCGTCTTAAATCGCCTCTGAGCCATACTAATAGTGAGTCTGACATACTTTTCAATTTGCACAGCAGACTTAGTCGGTTTTCTAAGACACACAGGTTTTCCTCGATAATTTTTTCTGATCGTTTACATAATCGGTAGTGTTAGCATTTTCAGCTTCAGTTGAACTTGGAGGGGGGCTGAGTTTGACACAACAAAGACCCCTTCGGGGTCGGAGTCGAAAGGCAGTCAAGGTTGAATGTGGTCGCGGGATCGATATGATTGATCGAAAGCGGTTCATTTGAAGAAGGGAAAAGAGCGGATCGAAACAGACTGAAATGTGTACCTGTTTTGCTAGATACAGGTTACAGGAATGTTCCCACAGTTTAATGTGCGTGATTTTAAGTTCATCGTGCGTATTTCGATTGAGCAACTAGTAGTTCCCATGATCACTCACATGTGGATAAAGCTGTGTAGCACCCAATTAAATAGTAGTCGAGGGAGGAGTTAAGTTTAACTCCAGTGAAACTACACAGTTCGAAAATGTGGTGTAAATATCTATTAAGGACACACTTGACGGAATATTTTTTTTTTAATAATTTGTTTTACCACTTCGTATTTTCATTTCATTTTCATTTTCAAGCACAGAAGGGGGTCATAGGGCCAGGTCTCCAGTAAAACATCACTGTCCATATAGTACAAGTGTAGAGGCAAGATTTGGCACCACAGAATAACAATCACAGGGATCAATTGAATCCTGCTTAAGATGCCGGATAGGGAGGAATAGTGTTTCAAGTAGGGGATAGTCGTAGTAACAGTAGTATAAGTAAAAATTGGACAGTAAACGTACAGAGGACCAAGTTTTGCAATACCTGTAAATCTTGTTTTATGATTTCATAATTTTTAAACCTTTGCATCCCAAAATTTAGGAAAAATGCTTAAAAGATTATACAGCATTATAATAACCCGGAGCGGTTCAATTAAATATCCTACTACACAAAATATACAAATACAATTAGATTGGCTCACCCGATATTCTTGAAATACTTGACGTTTTGAATGAAACATTGCCATTTCCAGACTTCGTGTTGTTAATTTTTTTTAAAGGTCTTGTGCTTAAAGCTTGATTTGTCTTTCGCTTTCTTTCGTAAAAAAAAAAACAACAAAAACAAACACAACGCTTCCCGCCCACAAGCTGTAGACCGAGTGCAGAATCTTTGTGATGATACTTTCCAAACGTGCATATCCATGGAAATAAATTTATTTCAATAAAGGATTGATTTCCACTGCGACTACGACTAAATCCAGCATTCCTACTAAAATATCAAATGCTGTGCTTAATCATTTATTATTAGTACAGAGCAATAAACAATGTACGATGATGATTAATCTGTTAATATCCTTTTATATGCGGGTTCAAATGCACTTTTGGCAAGCATCAACACTGATCTGGCAACACTAGTGTGCATATTTCCAATGTGGTAAAGATCCAGATCAGCCCTGAGACCTGGTAGCCTAATTAAACTACCTCAAGGTTTTGCCAAAGCCCAGGGATTTTACCACTTCGCATTTTCTTAAACAAAAAGTAAGAGATTGTATCGAATACACGACCGTAGATTTGACGTAAGAACAGTGTTGCGATATTTTTATCTGTACTAGGAGTTGCAGAAATCTTTTTCATCTGTACTATTTATGAAAAAAAATCTGTGCCAATAGCATTACCATTATTATTTTTTATTTATTGAACAAATCCACTTTATTTAAGGCTTATACTAACAAATGACGCGTTAGTTCTCATTTCGGTGATGTTTTTACATTGTCTTGCAAAACTTCGACTGCATACTTTCAGTAAGTAGGGGAATTTACGTATTCTCGGCAACCTAAGCAGCGACCTTCTTTCTATAGCCTTTTTCTCTATGGAACGCACACATATGCAGTATTGGTTTGTTTACAATCTTTTGCTGCCAGCTGCTCTAACAATTTCAGTCGAAAGAATTTTCAAACACTGTTTTGAAACGCTTTTACAAAGTTCCAATCTTCTCTAGTGAGAGCGAGTATTGTCGGCAACCAGTTTTTCTTCGGCAACCGTTCCATTTGAACTGCATGTAAATCTGCTGTTCTATTATCGGCAACTCGAAATCAGCTACAATTTGTAGAGCGTGTGTTTCATTTCAAGAAAACCCTGCTAGATTGGTTTTTCTCAGTGGTAAAAATACAGTCAAATTCAAGCTGAAAGCATAAAGAATCGTTTGCATGCATTCAGCGAAGTGTTTTCGTAAGAAAATCCAGTGAAAATAGTGTTTCAATTTGGGTTGCCGAAAATAGTCGGTCATGCCGAAGCCGTCATTTCCCCTACCAGTTTTGAACAGCCACCAAATTTTTAGATTTCAGGATTCCGTTGACTGTGTCGTTGCTAATCCGATTTCGAAGCATTGTTTTATTGTTGTTATATTGGGGGGGAAATCCGCTCTACGGTTGCTGAGGAGTGAGGCATTATAAGAATATTATACACATACATGAGAACCATCAATTATTTTCAAACCTGCGATGTTTGTCCACCAATCTTGCACATGTGCGGTTTCTTAAACTATTATTTCTTTGTGAAACAATTTAATTTTTAAAGCACGGAATTCGGTTTCCAACTCTTGCAAATCTCCATCATAGAAACCTGGAAACGCGTTCAGTACCATATTGATTCCTGTAAAATTGGAAAAGTTTCTAGGATTCAACATTGCAGCAGCCTTAATCATTGAAATCGATTGCCTTTTTAGAGGTGCTACTCTTGATTTTGCAGTAAGGAGGGCAACCTTGACAATTCCAGATGCATTAGTGGATCTGACGTAGGCACAGGATCCATAGGCAAGCAGCGAGGCATCAGCGAAGATGTGGATCAGGATCGTTACAGGTTCGGGTTGTAGAATACAGCGTTCGATGCGAAGTTCGTTGGATCTGGTACTCCATCGGTAGTGTCTTGTTCCAACTCCACGAAGATTCACTGTCGTCTTTCAGTTTCCACAGGTTCTGCATGAAGACCTTGGCAGCAGTTACCACAGGTCCCACTAAGCCAAGCAGGTCGTAGAGACGGGCGATGAGCGAAAGAGCGATTCGTTTAGTAACAAGCTGGCCTGCTGTATCAGACGGTAGGTCGATTTGGTAGCGAAGGCAATCTGAAGCTGGTTCCCAATGTAGCCCGAGAGTTTTGATGACTTGATATCGATCGAGGTCTGCGGAAGTCTTGAGTGCGCGATTTTCAGGTGGAATACCTTAGTACTGCCTCATCGTTTGAAACCCACTTGCGTAGTTGAAATCCACCTTTTGTTAGGAGTGCATCTAAGCTGGTTCCAGAGTTCAATTACTTCTGCTGCGTTACTCCCGCCGGAAAAGAGATCGTCAACGAAGACATCTTTCTTGATAGCTTTGGCTGCAAGGGGAAAACGTTGATCTTTATCGTCGGCAAGTTGAATCAGTACCCGAGTGGCGAGAAAAGGAGCGCTGGCGGTACCGTACGTTACGGTATTAAGTTCGCATGTCTCCATCGGGTGGTCTGGTGATGGTTTCCAGACGATGAGTTGGACTCGGCAGTCACGAGGGTCGACAAGAACTTGACGGTGCATCATCTTGGCATCGGCAACTACCATGACTTGATGCTTACGGGAGCGCATCGCGATTGATCGGATGTCCTCTTGCACCGTTGGTCCAACCATCATCGCGTCGTTGAGTGAAGGTCCGATCGGGGTTTTACAAGAGGCATCGAAGACGACCCTTAACAGCGTGATGTGATTGGTAATAGTGCTGTACCTTTCGGTCTTCGTAATCATGAATGCGCTTCATGTGTCCGAGGTCGAGATACTCGTCGATGAAAGCCTTGTACTGCTGGTGAAGGCCGGGGTTGCGGATTAGACGACCTTGAAGCAGATGGAATCGACGAACAGCGGTAGGACGGTTGTCACTAACTTAACTTATGACCACTTACTTGAATGGTAAGCGGACTACGTAGCGTCCTTCTGGAGTACGAGCTACAGTACTACAACGGAGTACGCTGTCGATATGCTGTCTTCCTCGATTGGCCAGAAATTTTCCATTAGGTGATGGATACCTGCAACGGTAGCGACGTTTGCTACGACGAGAGCGGTAGACGGACTCATTGTGGCCTTCCCAGCTACTACCCAACCAAAGACGGAATTGACCAGCACCGGAAGATTATCGCCGAGAGGAATTCGTCCGGGAACCTTGAACAGGTCGAAGAAGATTTCGGCTCCAATGATGACATCGATGGGATTGCTGCTGTCACACGATGGATCTGCGAGTTGAATGCTGCGTGGCATGTCCCAAGTCGAAGTATCGACGGAAGTAGCTGGTAGATCGATGGTCACCATGGGTAGAACGAGAAATTCGACGTTGGTTGGAGTACGCACCAACTCGAGAGCGGATTGTGGATGAAAACTTTTGCCTGAGATTGGAAGATAGATTTTCTTCCTCTGAGCCTTGATGCGCTGCGAAAACCGTTCCGTGATGAAGTAGCATTCACTTCCTGAGTCCAGGAGTGCGCGAGCGACTCCGTTGTCATCAATTAAGATGATCACTGCAGTGGCAAGAAGAGCTGTCTTCTGCTTATGACCAATGGAAGCGCAACTGATGGATTCGACGACCGTAGCAGACGAAGACATGGTCGGAGGATCGGTAGCTGGAGTAGATATAGCAAGTTTCGAATGCTGGACTTCTTTCGAGTTCGACGAGAAAGAGAAATCGTTCGAGCATAGCTGCGTGTGATGACGTCTACGACACTTTCAGCAGTTGGTCGTCGACGAAAAATCCCTTGATAGGTGACCTTTTCGAATGCAATTTCGGCAGAGTTGATGACGGCGATCTCCTTTTCCTTTTCTTCCATCGAAAGTTGCGAAAAACTTCCACACATGAACAAAGGGTGATGGTCTGAGCAGATGACACACATGGCTCGAGACGGATCGCTGAACTGGCTTCTTTTGAACGGTCGACGGTTGAGCTTCGATGGGCTTGGCCTGGGTGGATTGCATTACCGTAACTCGTCACTGGATGAAAGATTTTAGGTCCTTGAAAGTGATCGCTGGTTTGGTCGAAGAGTACTCCTCCCAATCTCGCCTTGTCGTCGGATCCAGTCAAATGCTGAGCATACGGATGAGCAAAATATCCCAATACTCCGTACGTTCATCTAATTGCTGCAGTACCTTGACATTTACCTCGAATTTCTCCACCAGACTGTGGAGTTCCGTTGCCGTTTCCGTTTTGATAGAAGCAAAATCGAAGAGAGTGTCTACGTACGCCTGCTTCAGCCGAGCAGGGTTTTGGAAGTGTTCCAGCAGAAGGTTACATGCCACCGGGTAATTGTTCGCCCGTATTGGGATCGTTTGGATGAGTTGAAGAGCTGTATGCGATAATGATGATCGGTGTTAATAAAACTTCTGGATATTCGAGAGACCAACCGCCGAGTGGACCAGTGACACATACAAATCGTGGAAGTTTAGCCAGTTTTCCAGTTTGCCATCGAAGACGTCGGGCAAACGCACAGCTGCGATGCAACGGAAGGAATTGCGTCGTTGCGATTGATTAGGAAACGAGTGAGTTGGTGTAACTGGCGCTTTATTTCGAGCCAGCAGAAAGTCCTTGACATGATAATAAGCGGACTCAAGCGAGGTCCGCTCCTTTAGGTGGGCCTCGATGGCAGCTTCATCGAGCGTCTCCAGCTCGCCCAGGACGATATTGTAGTCTGACCACAACTTTATCAGGTTCTCAAGACGGAAAGGGACTTTGTCGGCCTGCGTCTCCTCATTGTAGACGTCTACGAAGGTCTAGATGAGGTTCAGCGACGTCACCAGACTCTTCAGCTGCATGTTTAGCGTTTTGATACGGCGCTAGATTTAAGGAGAATATCAAAGAACTTCTGGAAGCTGGTATCTTTGGATAGTTCAGTTTAGACATACATCCACAGACTGAAAGAATTCCGCGAGCCGCTCAAACTTTCTGGACGGTCCACATGTGACTCGTGGAAAGTTGGATAAGCATCACTGTTTTAAATGGTACATTTTAAACAGCTGAAACTGCTTCAGAATATATGTTGTTTGCTGGCTTGGCACGACTGAAAGCTGGGCTACACCGAAGTTTTCGATCAAACAGTAGATAATTTGAAGTTCTTAATCCCTGCGCTTTAATCAGAGATCGTAAGGGTGTTGTTGTGTCAAATTGGTCATGACGCATTGCGAGTTTGAAATAGTGATTGCAGTTTGCTCAAAAGTGCCTGAGCAAAATGCAAGTACTTTCAATGATTACCCGTAGTTGCAAGTAGCAATTCTGACTTTGTGAGGGTTGCATACACCAGGTTATAAACTCTTAGAATGTTCTGAAACCTTCATAAAGTATGCAATGCTGTTTGGGTAGTGAAGATATAATTTTGAGTTATCGATAGGATTAAGTCAAAACATTGAGAAATACTTCACTTCGCAACCGATGAACCATTCTGATGGCCTATGAGTACCCAAATGACCATATGGTCGTAATATCACAAGTAACAATTTAACTGCCTTTTGGCTTTCATCCTGATTTATTGTGGTTTTATAACGGCAATAAGCATTTTTTGAGTTTAAATACAGCATTTAAAAGTGCAAAACATTCTTGATTAGCAGTTCAGCTTTATGCTGTTTTAAAAAAAAACTTTTAAAGCCTGACGAGAAAATCAGAAAGTGTCTGGTTTTAAAAATGAATTTAATGCAGCACTCTATCCCTTTATAAAACTGTTCAGTAAATCAATCAGTAGTTGTTTTATTGATGTCACGGAAAAATACTCCATCCGCAATTATAAAACCGTTCGGTTTCAAACGGTATCAAAAAGCATAAATTGATGCGTTTTGGTGTTAATGAAGTGTATCAAAAAACCTTCCACTGTTTACAAATAAACCTAAAAAGATCGATCCACCTAGAGACAGAGAAAAACATAATCGGGTGGGGTATTCAAACGCAGAGTCACAAGGGAATGCCAAAGGATAATCGAGTAATAATTCTAGTAATGCTGTCGACGGAAGAAAAAAGGAATCCAATTCCTCGCAGCTCCGACGAAACCGGACAACAACAACAGAGTAGTCGACTGAGAGGAGCGAAGTGAATGCGGTTTATGAAGCACTGGAAGCCGTCAAATTAGACGCTTGAAATTGATTAGAATATACAGCATATTGTCAATGGCAGCCTTCCCCAGAAAAAAAAAAAAAAAAACGTTGCAATGATGATCCGAATAGCCAAAATGGGATTGCGGCAAACTGCTGACAGCAAACTTCAGAAGCTGCCCGTTAGCTGCCTTCCAAGCCATAGCAACGATTTCATTCGGCGAAAGAGTTAAATGTTCCAAAAATTCCAAGCAAGCGGACATAAACTTCATCGCATCATCCGGAAGAAGGAAAATTTTTCGGGAAGCATTGAGCTTCCACATGTTCCAAGTTACGTAGATACACTTCCTGGTGTAACTGCTTCCAATAGATGAATTGCCCTTATCAAGGATGTCACGCAACTTGTTGACTTGCAACTTGCAACTTGAAAGATAAACAAATTTTGACGTTTAACTTTTTCCAGGCAACTTTGCCTCCATTAATGCCGTAATAAAACTAAACGGAATAGGATCAAGCAAAATAGCTTCAGATAAAAACAATTCAGTCTGGAAATCATTTTCATAAAAGCAGCATTAAAATGTTTTGCACTTGTTAGCGATTTCATGAAAGCAAAACAACTTTTTGTCACAAATGGCTTATGGAAAATCAATGTGTATGATATCGCCATATTGTTATTGTTCCATTTGCCTTTTTACAATCTTCGTTTTTCAAGATGTTTTTCCTTTATAATAACTTTATTCTTATCAATTCATCAATGAGCCGTAATAGAAATTACGAAAATCCTCAAATTGTGTCGGCTGTGAGCAATGATGAACATTTCAAATAATTGTATTTTGTTTCCTAAATTATAGATAATTAGGCAAATCAACTTTTCCCGGAGGTAGTTCCACCTTTTCGATTTTCTGAATCACATTTCACATTAGATTTAATCTGTCACCTAAAAAAGACCACAATATGAGTTTCGATAATTTTTGTAATTTTTTCACTTCAAAGATGAGGATATTTATGAGAATTTTTGGCCGATTCATTTTTGACAAGATCGAACGATTTTTATGTATCCCTTTTTATCTGGATTGATGCTTTATTTTCAATGCGCTTAGCAAGCGTCAAAGGCAAATGGCTCAAGTATTGATGACAAATGGTTTTTTTTTGGTACTATTAATAATGATTTCAAATGTTTCTCAATTCAAGGTGGGACAACTACACAAATTCTAGTCTTAATGAGGTTTTGGTGGATGTAATAAAGGCAAAGCTATCTTGACCAGGGTTTTATGAATTTTGTTTTATAGAAGGCTTGTAGTACTTCATAAAACGTTAAATGTTACTTGGGATAGCTTTATATATAATTAATTTGTTCGAGTATCAGTCAGTTGAGAAATTCGATGAAAATGATCACTTCTTGAAGCTTATCCCGGTCGTATTTCTTTATTTCTATTTGCACTAATCACCATCACATACTAATCCTCATATTGATCCAATGATGTACGAATTGCACATTCCGAGTGCTCGGAGGAGCTAAAGAAGAGTAACATTGGACGCGAGTTTCCTACCAGAAGATCATGGGAATACAAAAGAGTACGAAGATCCGTGTACGGCGTTCGCTGCGAGCTGTGTGATGAAGACGAAGCGTTTGGCGGAGAACAACAGACAACAGGCTAAAGGCTAAAACTACTGGAGAAAATCGTGGAATAGAGAAGTCCGGAAATCTTCTTCCTCTCCATATCCATGAAACTGTAAATCTCCACTAACTTCGAGACGACCGCGAGTACTCGGTTCAATTCCTTTAACTTTAGATTTTTACTTTAGATTTAAGATATTAATAATGTATAACACAAATGATAATTTGGCTCTGTAAAGCTTATTCGATTGAGCCTGTAATTAATTTACAAAAAAAGAGAAGTCCGAAAAAGTTTATGATCACAGTCAAGTAGACCAGTTTTGGTGAGATAATTCCTAAAAATTATGAATTTGGAGAAGTATTGGTTCATAAAATTAAATACAGTTAGAACGAAATGTATTGTCAACAGTCTATCTTATTGTACGAAGGGGAAATGTCTCTAATGTTGGCCTATGGATATAAGATTGGGCCCATCTCTAAAAATCTGCTATTTATCAATTTTATCTAGATGAACGCGTCATTCGGACGGTACTAATGGATATTTTTGGAAAATATTAAAAGTTTAGTCGAATGCTGAATTTATGTATGGGCCCAAATTTGGGACACTTAGGCCGACATTACCCGCATTTCCCCAATATTGTACAAGAAATTTTAACAGGATTTTCAACAATAGAACAACATTACAATTAACGGTACATGGCTTAAGTTTGTTCGGGAAAAAGTAATTTTTCGTATGGTTAAGATACATAACAACCCCCTTGTTCTACTGTAGATTCTATTGTATAAATAATAAATTCTATGGAAATTTTATTGTTGTAGACAGTGCGATTTATTGTGACTATAATAAATTCTGTGGTTTGGTTACAATACATTGCATTTCACCTCTATGGTTCTTTTTTCACGGGTTTGGTAAGATCCTTCAATTATACTTTATTATATAAACCATTCGTAACATCAAATATGATTTTTAGATTCACTATTACATAGCTCAGAGCGTTTTTTACGGTATGTCCATGCATCCTTCCATCCCTGTAGATTGAAAAAATGCATCTAAGGTTGGCCTATGGATCTAAGATTGGGCCCATCGCTAAAAATCTGCTATTTATCAATTTTATCTAGATGAACGCGTCATTCAGACGGTACTTATGGATATTTTTGGTCAATATTAAAAATTTAGTCGATTGCTGAGTTTATGTATGGGCCCAAATTAAGGGCATTTAGGCCGACAATACATCCATTTCCCCTATTTATTTACACTCGAATCATTTCACAGAATCATCTTTGCAACAAATGCAACGCAGTAGGCCTGGCCTTTTTTATGTTTGTGTCATATCTCAGATATGCTGCAAACATCTATGTTGACAAGAAAAATTATTAGGCGTTATTTAATCTAATCATGTTTCAGGATGCTTTCTCGTACTGGCTGTGGTTGTATTAGATTAGATTAGATTAGATTAGATTAGAAATAGACATTTGAAGTCCTTGAGGTGGCCATATTTGCAGTAATGACATTCCGCTAAAATGTTGATGGTTGACAGTACCACTCAGATGGTTGATTTGAAAATGCTTCAAAATAATGGTGAACATGAACGGCTCCCACGCCATACTATCATCTATCTTGACATTTGATTTGCAGTGTAGAACATCTAAAATCCCAAATGTCCATTCCCAGTGTGACTGTATTCCATCATCAGATTTATTATCGCACATCTGAATCACTGCCACAATAACAGCACAACATTCGTTCACCTTCACTGCAGAAGCTCAATATTTGAACACATCCGTATTCCTCATCTGGATCTTCCCAACCGTTCTCCCCAAACAATATAAGTTTCCACGGCGACGACTACTATGACGTCTGTCATTCAACCCGGATGTCATGTCATCAGTTCGAAAAAAAAAAAACAATGCTAACTTACCACATTAGGAGCACGCGAACTGCCAAATTGCTTGATTATACAACATACAAGTCTCTTGGAAGCACCAATGCCTCTTCCGTATATCGTTTCCCCGCGCTAATCAATGCACTAATCGAACGCACATTCGCAAACAAAATTCCACCGAAGTTAGAAGAATCCTCACTCTTCGAGACAACTGTCAAGCTTGTATGCACTGCTCACCCGATTCTATCACTCGAACGGGGGCTACTGCTGCTGCTGCTGCTACTGCTGCTACTACTGCGCAACTGCGAGTTTATCCTTTGCACTTCCGTGGAAAAACAACAACTACAACCGGCGTATCACTTGTAGTGTGTCTACGGGCTATCGATGTAGACAAACACCTGCACTGCGCTAGAAGTCAGCTGATATCCAGCAGCCAGGGATTTTGATGTGAAAATTCTTCGGTTCCTGTCCGACCGACCTGCGGATCACGACTGGCTGCAGGCGGCGAGTTCTGATCGTATTTTCAAACCACTAACACTGGCGCAACATCCAACTACTATCCCAAAGCAGGTTTTTCACCCGAAATCAGAAACAGGATCTTCTTTCTGGTGGATGTTACAACGCACTCGAGAACACACTTGTTTTGGTTTTGTTCTTCTTCGGTTTGGAAGTTCTGAACTCGCACTTACGGAGGAATTTTTCGCGGGGCTTTTCGCAAGATCCGCGACACGACCCGGTGGAAGAAGCTCAATAAATTAACGTACGAATAAAAACAGCACCGCACTTTATAAAAGCTCTCCGCAGTTCAGGTGCAGCTCTCCGGCTGCGACTCTCCCTTGTTCTCTCACCGAAATCCGCTACCCGCCGCCACGCTGCTAGCACAATGCACTTGAGGGGGTAGTTTTTCTCGCGACTTTGCTCACTACAGAAGGGGTGGAATCGAGTACAGACAGCCACTAGAATCACTTTAATTCTCTTTCGCTATTTTTCTCTCTCTCTCTCATCACACACGGAAACACATATGGAAAAACTACACCATATACTGTCGGTGTGACACCACTGAGGGATCTTGTATCGAATTTGCTGATCTTCTAATATCAATGCGATAAATATATCGAGAATAAAGTCAACAACTGTCACGAGACAACCAATCAACGAAACGTTCCAATGCGAGAAGGAGCAGAGGACGAGTCCGAACTAGCTTGGTCCAAATCTGTGACTATACTGAATGGGTCCACGCGCTAGTAGTGGAATTAAAAAGTGATTAGTTGGACCGTATCAGCGAAGGTGCGACTAACTAGCGAACGCGACCGGTGTACCTACTGAAAGGAAATAAGGCGAACAAAAAAAAAAAAAAATACGAAAATCACTGACCGCATGCCTTGATCAAGTTCGTGCAGACCACGACGACTGCAATGATGACAACTTAGTAGATACTACTGGGGACCAGACGATTTTGTGTACGATGTGTTTTAAGCCGAGCGCTGACAACATGGTATGGGAGATATGGCTGATCAATAAAATTCCGTTTCGGTATTGGAGGAAAAAAACAGCGATGTTAATTTTCGGTTGAGTAAAGTGTGAATAAAAAATAAAGATTTTTTTTCCATTTCTGGTATGCTTATCTTATGAATGATCGTTACTATGTTGGCATTGTGACCCAAATTGTTGGAATAGTGGTTGTAGCGATCGAATTCTATACATTTTTTTTTCGGAATTATGCAATCATTAGATGTTATGATGATATTTTGCAAATGCAAGTTACAAGACAAGATTGTTAAGCGAGGGGTTTTCTTTCGACAATGTGCCCCGATGTAGGTTAGATTATTCGGCCCAACTCCTGCTAGAACTAGAATTAAGTAAATTTTTGCTACGAAACTATGAGTTATTGCCCAGACAACCAGAAGTCGTATAACAATGGGCAGACAGTATCGTAAATAACTACAGTTTAAGTCAAAATCGCATATGACAGTATGACATACATCGCATTATGTTTAAGTTAAATCGTATAGAATGCAAATTTCCGACTTATATGCGATGAATCATTTTTCCATCGTACTGTATCGCAAATTAAATCGGATTACATCGTAAGACTTTTCAAATTGAATTTGTTATTACAGATTAAATCGTCTATGATGTCAAATCATTTTTTTTTTATTTAACACAATTTAACTGTTTTCTACAATACTTTTCATTTCTTTTCATAATTTCTTCTTTCTTCTCGTACCGTATTACTTTCATATTGTGACCTTCCTTAACCTAACTTACTTCTACGCGGCGTACTCGGGGTTAATACCACATTCACTCATCTACACGCAGATCCATACACTCCTCCTCATCTTTACAGATATACACGAACACACGTTAAGAAAGGGAAAGGAAACCTTAACCTAACCTAACCTAACCATCATTCGTTTCATTACTTTTTAAAAGATGTTTAAATAATTCTTGAAATGTTTCCTAAACACACTTTTACTATTGAACCGCGTTATTCTTATTCTTTGTTTAAGTTCACTTAAATTGCTTTTACCTTTGCGATCTAAATTGAATGCTATAGCTTCCGTTACAAGCCATAGAGCTGCTTTCAGTTTACAATTTTTGTTTCCAATATTATACGATAATACTTCCTCTGGGCCTGTTAATTATATTTTCAACTTGTTTGTTAGCCCTTCTTTCAACCAAATCCAAATCGAACTAGATGTTACACATTGCTTTATCATATGACTTACAGTCTCTTCAGTTGAACAAGTTTCACATAGAGTTGATTCTACTCCTCGAATCCGATAACTACACATTTTTTTTCTTATTTAAGACAATATCTTTAAAAATGTTGAACAAAGCAGTTTTTCCTCTAGATGATATGTAATGTTGATTCAAGTTTTCTAATAGATTTTCCCAAAGTAAATTAGGCAACTCTTCTTGTACTTTACTTTACAATGCACAGTGGTCCAGAATGCAGATTTAGGTGGAATGATATGTTTTGAGCCTGAAACTGAAACTTTAGAATAAAAGTCTCTTCTACAAAGTTGTTCCTTATAGTTAGGCCCTCATTTTTATTACAATGAGTTCTAGGGTGGTTCCTATTATCATTAAAATCAAAATTCTAACTTTTTTGTTTGAATGAATTAAAGTACACATTCTTCGGCAAATTTCAAGCAACTTTTTTGAAAATAACTTTTTTGTATCTCTTAAATTGGCCGATATAGAGCTATTATCTTGAATTGAGTTAGGGTGGCTCTTAAAAAAACAGTCACAGTCTTTTTTCGAATTTCTCAGCAAAGATGTCTTGAAATAACTTTTAGATCTTAAGAAGGCGCAAATTTTTGCTGCGCAAAGCTTGTCAATATCTTTCGCCGATCAAGAGTTATTGACGTTTTTATACTAAAAAAATATGCCCTTTTCAAATGTTAATATCTCTGGTTGGGGCAAACAAAAAAAAAGTTTTTTTACGGCATTTGAAAGGGCGTATGTTATTCTCAATAATATGACAAAATTGGAGGTATGTTATTTTTTAAACTCGAATAAAATCAATTTGAATTTGTTCATATTTTTTACTATATTTGGGTATATCTTTTTTATTAGAAGAGATACAGGCAACAAATGCAGGCATAAAACATTCTTCTAAAAGAGTTTTAAAAGTCTCTAGAAGATGACTTTCATAATAAATTTCAAATAAAAAAGTTATTGGCAAAAAATGGATTTCATAGGACCACTCTAATGACAAATTTATATAAAATGTGCTAGTACATTTGTTTCAATATTTGGACATTTAGTGTCTTGGGAGAAGTTTTTGTACTTAAAAATTCCCTTCTTTTGGTGTTTGCAAACGTCAGGGTGGTCCTTAAATTAGGGAATTTTTAAAACTAACTTTTTTGTTTTACAAAATAAAAACATGTGTTGTTTAAAAAAGTTGTAGCTAAGTTAATTGCAAGCAACTTGTCGAAGAATTTTTTTTTCTATCTCTTAACGTTCTCATTTTAGAGTAATTTTTTGGAGTTGACTTAGGGTGTTCCTGGAAAAAATAGTTTTTTAGCAATAACTTTTTTATTTGAAATTTTTCATGAAAGTTATCTTCTAGAGAATTTTAAAACTCTTTTAGAAAAATGTTTTATACCTGCATTTGCTGCCTGTATCTCTTCTAATAAAAAAGATATACCCAAGTATAGTAAAAAATATGACTAAATTCAAATTGATTTTATACAAGTTTAAAAAATAACATACCTCCAATTTTGTCATATTATTGAGAATAATAATACGCCCTTTCAAATGCAGTAAAAAAAACTCTTTTTTTTTGCTTGCCCTAACCAGAGATATTAACATTTGAAAAGTGCATATTTTTAGCATAAAAACGTCAATAACTCTTGATCGGCGAAAGATATTGATATTGCAGCAAAAACTTGCGCCATTTTAAGATCTAAAAGTTATTTCAAGACATCTTTGCTGAGAAATTTGAAATAAGAAAACTAGAGCAAAAAAAAACTGTTTTTTAGGAGCCACCCTAACTCAATTCAAGAAAATAGCTCTATACCGTGCGGGACCGAAATCCGTACACCTAAGCACGAGAGAATCATTAACGGTCAATACTAAATAATGCTATCACATTATGCTCTGTATCACATCTTTTTCCTTTACATTTATCTTTATTTTTCCAATATTTGGATACACCAGGTCTTAAAATTACCTTTAATTATTAGAAAAAAGGATTTAAATTGCACATATCTTGAATCAAAATCCGTACAGCGTTTTACGATTGAATCAAAATCCGTACAGTTTTGAATCGAAATTCGTACACTGTGTTGAGGATGAATCAAAATCCGTACAGTCATGAATCAAAATCCGTACATGAATGTAAATCGATCCAAATCAATGAAAAAAAAACGTGTTGCTATCTTGAATAAAGTATTTTTTTTGTAGTTGCTTGGCTAAGAGTCCGTTTAAATACACTAGTTTACAGCATATTTGAACTTTGTACGCTGATGGTCATTTCCCATATAAAATCGTGCGCTGAATCCAAAAATGTAGTCCAAAAAAATCTCGGTAGGATAGTTTTGGAGATATAGGGGTAAGAGAGGCATAGTGAACAGGTGGGGCATAGTGAGCATCGCGCGTGCTCCAGCTTGGACTTCCGGCCGTTCAGAACAAATTTGTTGGCTGTAGGGTCAATATCTTAATGATATTGATCCTACTACCAGTTGATTTGTTTCATGCAGTTGGAGATCCAGAGCCAAAGTACGGGATGCTCACTATGCCCCGCCTGTTCACTATGCCCCTCCTTCCCCTAGCTAAAAAATGAAATCTCACGTTAAAAAAACTAAAACACAAATATCTCTGGCTGGAATGCAGTGATATTAATTATTTTAACGCCAAATTAAACGTGATAAAATTTTATTTCGATCGTTATAACACTATTTTTCCGTGAGAGTAATGGTAGAACCACCAAAAACATTTTAATTTACATTGCTTAAAAACTTAGCAGAAATTCAATTTTTCTTAGGAAAACTTAAAAAACAAACTATTAACTAACAACAATACCATCAATCTCACTGACAACTGACAATTGATCGAACGAAAACAATTTCTTACCTCTAATTTAGCGTTAAAATAATTGATATAATCTCATTACAACCGGAGATATTAGTATTATAGTAATCAAACTTGTTTAAAGTGAATTTTCATTTTTAGCTGTATCTCAAAAACTATCCTACTGACATTTTTTCGACTACATTGTTGAATTCAGTGCATGATTTTACATAAGAATCATTCGTCAAAGGTTCAAGTTCATTTTATTTACTTTTACTTTTTTAACTAATGATATCAGTGTTAG